TGAATCCCTTTCTCTCGCCATGCACAAAAGTTAATTCAAAATGAATCTAGGACCTTGATATCATATCAGAGACACGCCGTCTGATAGAAGAAAAAGTTGGCTACGATCTACAGTCGGTGGGGTCGGGCTCCAAATTCCTCAATAGGACACCCATAGCACAAAAGTTAATAACTAGAATCAACAAATGGGACTTACTCAAACTAAAAAGTTTTTTCTCAGCAAAAGAAACAATATGAGAGGTAAATAGGGAGCCTACATTCTGGGAACAAATCTTTACTCCTCACACTTCAGATAGAGCCGTAATATCCAGAGTATAGAAAGAACTCAAAAAATTAGACAATAAGAAAACAAACAACCCAATCAACAAATGGGCCAAGGACCTGAACAGACACTTCTCAGAGGAGGACATACAGTCAATCAACAAGTACATGAAAAAATGCTCAACATCTCTAGCTGTCAGAGAAATGCAAATCAAAACCACCCTAAGATACCATCTCACTCCAGTAAGATTGGCAGCCATTATGAAGTCAAACAACAACAAGTGCTGGCGAGGATGTGGGGAAAAGGGTACACTTGTACATTGCTGGTTGGACTGCAAATTGATGCAGCCAATTTGGAAAGCAGTATGGAGATTTCTTGGAAAGCTGGGAATGGAGCACCATTTGACCCAGCTATTCCCCTTCTCGGTCTATTCCCTAAAGACCTAAAAAGAGCATGCTACAGGGACACTGCTACATCGATGTTCATAGCAGCACAATTCACAATAGCTAGACTGTGGAACCAACCCAGATGCCCTTCAATAGGTGAATGGATAAAAAAAATGTGGCATTTATACACAATGGAGTATTACTCTGCATTAAAAAATGACAAAATCATAGGATTTGCAGGGAAATAGATGGCATTAGAGCAGATAATGCTAAGTGAAGCTAGCCAATCCCTAAAAAACAAATGCCAAATGTCTTCTTTGATATAAGGAGAGTAACTAAGAACAGAGTAGGGACGAAGAGCAGGAGAAGAAGATTAACATTAAACAGGGATGAGAGGTGGGAGGGAAAGGGAGAGAGAAGGGAAATTGCATGGAAATGGAAGGAGACCCTCAGGGTTATACAAAAGTACATAGAAGAGGAAGTGAGGGGAAAGGGAAAAATAATACAAGGGGGAGAAATGAATGACAGTAGAGGGGGTAGAGAGAGAAGAGCTAGGGGAGGGGAGGGGAGGGTAGGGGGATAGTAGAGGATAGGAAAGGCAGCAGAACACAACAGACACTAGTATGGCTATATGTAAATCAATGGATGTGTAACTGATGTAATTCTGCAATCTGTATATGGGGTAAAAATGGGAGTTCATAACCCACTTGAATCAAAGTGTGAAATATGATATATCAAGAAATTTGTAATGTTTTGAACAACCAACAATAAAAAATTAAAAAAAAAGAAATGAAAAGACAAAAGAAAAAAATAGAAAATAAAAAAAGAAAAAATTTAATGTAATATTAAAAAAAATAAAAATAAAGAAATAAAAAATAAATAAAAAAAAAAAAAAAAACAAAAAAAAAATCAAATAAAAAAAATTTAAAAAGTGCAGTCTTAGAGTTCGATTATCTTCTCTTCCAGTATGTGGAGCTTTGCCCACCGGGCCAGGCTTCTCTTCTCAATATGTGGGAACCAATCACTGTGAAGCAGCTCCTCCTTCCCGACTGGGCGGGTCTCCAATCCTGATTGCCTAGGGCCCTTTCTTGTGTTTAGTTACTTCCCCACTTTTTCTCAAGCCAGGCCCCGCTCACCGGTGACTCTCACGACGGTACTGGCTACACGCCGGGTCTGCTGCTCCCAGGAGCCCTATTTTCTTGAACACTGGGCACACTCTCCCTGCTTGCCATTCCCTCAGACCCTAAGTTTGTGGAGCTTGGGGCTGAGAACCCTCAGCGTATTTTGCTTGCCCTCGGGTAGCCACGCCCCAGGGAGCTGGTGCAAGAGACCTCAGTTGTCAGCTGGGATCCCGTGCCGTGGGTCTTGTGCCGCTCCTGATTCCCTTGGTATGACTTTCGCGCTCATGGGAAAGCTGGGAGGGGCCCTTGAGGTTTCCCCGCTGTGTGGAGAGGGAAGGCTAGGGGGTTACACACCTGTTGCCGCCTGTTTCAATGAAGTTATCTCCTCTGCTGCATTCTGGTGAGGTCAGTTCTCTGCCATGGTGCTATCCCATGCGAATGGCGACAGTTCGTTCCCTTTGCCAGGTGACCAATGCAATGGGTGGGTCCTGACCGGCTCTCCCAAGCCTCGTCTCCATCCTGTGGCCACTGCCTATGAAGGCTCTGTTGGTATTAACCTCCGCAGGATCAGGAAAAGCCGACAAGTTGTTTCATCGGGATCATTTAGCATGAGTCACAGCGGTTTGTCTGCAAAACGCAGGCGAACAGGAGCCTGAATTCAGCCGCTCCAGGTTCGGTGTGTGTTCTGAGAGGTGCAGACTGTTCGCCCCAGATGCACGTCAGCTCAGCATTGCCTAGTGATCCAGAGCAAACAGCATTTCGTCGGTTTAAGACTCCCCATGCCCGCGCAGCTGAAGAGGTCAGAGACTTGATATCTCCGTGCCCGCCGCCATGTTGGACATGATTTCTTTTTGACAAGCTATGGGGTGTTATTTATTGTGAAATTGAAGCCAGGCTGGGCTAGGCTTGTTGTGTATCCTCATGCAAGAATACTTTACTAAAGGCACCAAGCCTAAGCTGTTGATTTGTGTGGACGTTCACAGTGTTACTAGTTGTCAGACATGAGGGATATTTATAATTTAAGGCTTGTTAAATTTAAAAAAAATTATATATACATTGTTAGAATCATTCAAAATGAATGAGTTTTAAATGTCAGTACTCATAGTACTACTTATTGGTTCTCCAAAATGGTCAGCCTGCTTTATAAAACTGTTATTCCAATAACTATTCAAAGAACCTGGACAACTCTTTAGTAATATTGTGAAGAGCAGTCATTATAAATCAAATTGGTAACTTTTTTTATCTTATTTTATCTGTTTCAGATTGCTGTGCTATGCTTTGCATGACTAAAACAAACGTCTTACCATTCCTGAAGGACAGACTCTGTGAGTACAGAGACTCTACAGATTGCAGCGAATCCTTACTGATCATCAGCAAAACAAACAAACTGAAAAACCCAATATGACCCCCCTCCAAAACTCTTACTACAGATAAAACCCAAGGCATTAAAATCTAGTTTCTTTGTTATATTTATTCTAGATGAGATAGGAAACCCATCTCTGTCACATGATTTTATTATTATAAAACAAATAATGAAATTTTTGTTAGCTCATAATCAGGTTACTTATAATAACCAATTATAAGAAGTATAATTGGAAATATGTGTATTAGTCAGTTTTTGTTACTATAACAAAATACCTGAAGAAGTGTATTTATTTTTAAAAAGAAGTTTATTTAGCTCATAGTTTTGGAGGTTCAAGGGCATGATGACTACATCACCTTGGTTCTGTTGAAGACCACATGGCAGATGGAATCACAATTGTGGGAATACGCATGTGAGGGAAGAGACTGCACAGTAAGTCCAGAAGCTGGAATGGCCAGGCTTGTTTTCTTTTCTTTTCTTCTTCTTTTTTTTTTTTTGTACTGGGAATTGAATCCAGTGGTGCTTAACCACAGAGCCACATTTTATAAAATTTTGAGACAGGATCTTGCTAAGTTGCTTAGGATCTCATTCAATTGCTGAAGCTGGCCTTAAAGTTGTGATCCCATTGCCCCAGCCTCCTAAGTTGCTCGGATTACAGGTGTGCATCTCCACCCAGCTTGGTTTTATATATATAAAATAAGTACTCTGTTGGGAACTAACTGGGGTCGCAGGAGAAATATGTTGATCCTTTTCAAAGGCAGTGACTCCACTAGGTCTCCCTTTTGAAGGTCCCATCACCTCTCAACATTGCCACACTGGGGACCAAGCTTCAACACATGAACCCTTGGGGATATTCACACCATATCAGAACTATAGCGGCATATTTTTAAATTTGCTTTGTAATTCTGAAGGGGCGGTATTCCCCTAACTTTTCATGTGGCCTTCTTTTGTAGAAGAACGCTGCTAAGAAGTGCTGAAGTGGCAATGAAACAGCCCAACAGGAAGAGAAAGCTTGGCATGGATTCCAAAGAGCACTTGGATCAGGATGGATGCTTGGTGAGATGTTGTCTCCTGGCCCTTCCTCACAGTCTGCAGTCACTGTTGAAAAGCTCTGTGGAATGGTGCAGCTCATATAACCATAATTGAGCAGTATTTTCAGTCACTTAAAACTACTTGCTGCAGTTGAGTTTTCATGTAACTCTATAGTATCATTAAAGTTTGGTACATTTAAAAAGGTAATCTTAATTTTAAAGGTGAAAGAAGATCGGTTGATCATTATCAAATAGGGGAATGGAGACTATGAACTGTAGGTGGTTTTATTAGGGTTCTTCAATAGAACCAATAGGATATCTGTCTGTCTGTCATCTATCACCTGTATGTAGAATTATTTTAAGGAATTGGCTCATGCAGTTTTGGGGGCCAACAAAATCTGCAGGGCAGGCTGGAGGCTCAGAGAAGAGGTGGCATTGTGGACTTGAGTCCCCTATCAGTCTGGGGGTAGAGTTTTTTTCTTTTCTAGGGCCTCAATGTTTTTTCTTATGGCTTTCCGCTGGTTGAATGAGACTGACCCACACTATGGAGGGTAGTTTGCTTTTCTCAAAGTCTACTTAATTAGATGCTAATCACACCTAAAAAACCCTTTACAGCAACTTATAGACACCTAGAAAGTATAATGTTCATCGTGTATCTAGTTCCCTTCCCTGTGCTGTTTCCTTGAGACATCTTTATCTATTTCTGGGAATTTAAAAGTTGGCAGTATGGCCCAGAGACATCTCTGGTGGCCATTTTTGGGATAGTAGACAACTAACAGCATCCTCAATTGTGTTTCTTCATGGGCTCTCATCATTTATTTGGGTTTGGGGTCTTCATGTGGTCTCTGGTTGTATATTTAGACATTATGCTTGGTGAAGTGATGTAAAGGAGGACATTTTGTGGCTCAGTGCCAGGTTTGGTGTGGTTGGATGAACCCTAGACATAAGTACTGGTTTGGTGTGAGCTTAGTTTTAAGATGTTAATTATAATTTGGTAACAAGCTTAAGAGCTGTTTCCTTGGGATCAGCCTTGTTTTGAGGTAGGATGATCAGGATAGAGCTGAGCCTAGCTCCCTTGGTGGTTGCATCTTTAGATCAATGCCAGGAGAGTTAGTGCTCCAGATGTACTGCAGAGAACACTGGCTGTTTAAGAGGTCACTTGGACCAGACCTACTCAGCATTTTGCCTTTCTGATGCTTTGTAAGGATGCCATTTTTTTTTCAGTGCCTTTGGTTTGCTGTGTCGTGTGCCTTCTGAAGAGACAGAATATGAGGAATTGATGTGTTCAGTTACTCCTGTGGTCCCCAGACAACAGCACCAGCATATCCTGGGGATTTGTTAGAATGAGTGATTCTGGTACCTGCTGTTTTTTTTTTTAAAGAGAGAGAGAGAGAGATACAGAGAGAGATAGATAGGGAGAATTTTTTTAATATTTATTTTTTTTTTAGTTATTGGCGGACACAACATCTTTGTTTATATGTGGTGCTGAGGATTGAACCCGGGCCGCAAGCATGCCAGGCGAGCGCGCTACCGCTTGAGCCACATCCCCAGTGCATACCTGCTGTTTTTTGAGAACTATTGTCCTAGGGTATAGATCTGCATTGTGCATCGTGCATCATGCATCATGCATCTTCTAAGAGTATTATAGTGAAATACATTTCATTGCATAATAATTGCAGATTGTATGCCTTTTTTGGCAAAAAGTGGGATGCAATCATTGCGTGAAGCTTTTAAAAAACCCAAAAAAACCTTTTCACTCAAAGTTCTATTTCCATGCTCTACAGTGAACATAATCATTTTCAGCTTGAAGCCTGCAGAATAGTTTTATATTTATCCACAATCAGAAAGAAATGCTTCATATATTAATGTATCATCAGCAGATGAACTGTACAGCTTAGCTGTGGTGGGAAGATGTGAGTCTTATTATATCATGTGACTTACTCAGGCACCTTTACTTGCCCACGTGCTCTCCTTGAGCCTGTGGCTCTTCATTTGGTTGAGTGACAACACTTTTAGTACTGCAGCACTCTAAACAAACCATACAAATTGACTGACAGTTCACATTCACTGAGAATTCTGGGCTCAGTGCTTGCAATGCTGGAGGAAAAAATGGGTATTCATATGCCACTGGTGAATACATTGCTGTTCTTTTGACCTTTTTAGTGACATGAGCAACAGAACTATACCATGCAACTATTTCATGATGAAAGGTCATCAACCAGTTTCTGGACTGAAAAAACAGGGTGTGATGATTAACGGTTGTATGGTGAAATGCAATTATCAATTCTGGCTCCTTCATTTTTCTATATTATTTTAGTTTAACATTTGAGAACACCTCCTCTCTTTCAAAAATATTTAGGTCTTTAAATCAGTGTCATTTGTCTTTAAACTGCTAAGATTATCACTTTCTCTCAGTATTCTTGTTCTATAACCTTGATATTAACTTTCTGTCTGTTAGCTTTAGTACAAATGCCCATTTTCTCTTAAATTCCAACTCAGTTTCTAACTTAATCCTGATGTGTCTACCATTATTCCTGCCCTAAAGTAGGATTTTCCCATTTTTTGAATTTAAAAAGTGCTGACAGGTGTGCTTTAGTGTGGGGCCCTGAATAGTTGGATTTCTGATAGTATCTGTTAAGTGATATTCTTAGTGTCTAATGGGATTTTTAGGCAAATGGATTTCTTGGATTAATAGCATGAAAATTATTTTTCAAAAGACCATATTACAATTTAAATTTTAAGGTGTTTGGATCACATTGTTATTTTAACAGATATTCTCATGGGATAATTAAAAGGTGCACATTGAAAATGAGTTTCACATTGCACAGTCACTTTGAGGCTCATTGCTAGTTACAGTACTCATTTTCATCAGTTGAATTCAACAGTTGAGCTAGCTCACATCAGGGGCTATCTATATTCACTATGGAGAGAGGAGCCAGTCATGCTTGGATATTTCTAGGTTCCTTAAAATATAAATGAAATCCTTTGCTTTTTGTGTTCACTTCGGATTTTATAAGTAGCATTTCCTTTCAACCAAGTAAAAGCCCACTGGCAGATTAAGTGTATAAAGCATCAAGCAAATGCACAGTTGGACATTCCTAAACATCTGCTTCTGAGACAGTAATTTAATTTTTTCAATATCCAATAATTTCTAGATGCTAATAGTATCTGTCAGTGAATGTTTTCCTGGATTAATATTTTCTAAGTATCTCTGAATAGAATTTTAAAAATATTTATTTATACTTTTCAAAATACAGTTATATGCCAGTGCGGTGTCACATGCCTGTAATCCCAGTGGCTTGGGAGGCTGAAGCAGGAGGGTTGTAGGTTTGAAGCCAGCCTCAACAACTTAGTGAGACTGTAAGCAACTTCACGAGACCCTGTCTCAAAATTAAAAAATAAAAAGAGACAGGGATGTGGCTCTATGGTTAAGCACCCCTGAGTTCTATTCCTAGTACCAAAAACCAAACCAAACCAAAACCAAAACAAACAACCCAATCATTTGGTTAAAAAAATCAAATAGTACAGTCAGGTATTGAAATGAGATGTAAATTCTCCACCATACCCAATCAAATGTGTACTAACCTGCCAAGGATTTTTGTGAAAGTGGGACCACAGGACCACTGTTGATCATTTCTTTTATATCTATAGCACACAAAAACAAAAGAGAAAGTTAAAAACCCACACCTGCTATGCACATAAACATACACATCACACAATACATATCCCAAGTGGGCTCATATCCTACACATTTTCTGTATTGCCTTTTTTGCTATTATTACATGTATCTTGGAGATGTGCACCTTCTTATTAGTTTTGGTGGTACACAGTGTTCATTCTGTGAATATATCATAATTTTTAAATAGTTCTTTACTATGAGGATTTGGGTTATTTTTATTTTTGTGGTTAAACACCACATTACAACTAGTTTTCATATTCATATGTCTTTTTGATCTGGGAATACCTTTGCAGTTGATTCACAGATAAAACCTTATCAGTGGATTTAAAATTGAAAGTATGGATTAACCATTCAAGACCATCCTGCAGAGAGGTCACCCTAGTTTATCTTCTCCCTGCAGAGAGGTCACCCTAGTTTATCTTCTCCCTAACAGTATCTGCCAGAGTGCTGCTTTTCCCTGGGTTTTATTACTCGTCTCATATCTTTGCTCACTCATTTCTTCTGTGCACGTGAACTTTTGTTTCTAGAACTGGTCTCCTTAATGCTGTCCTATGGCAAGAAAGAATACCCTTGAAGAAAGTATTCTTTGAAACTCCTTGACATATTATGCCTTTGTGCAGCATCCAGCACAAAGATCAGTGTCATTTTGGGTGCCCTTTCCTAGATTTTTTCCACCCACCTCCATTAGAATTGACTAGCATAGTGTAGGCAGATAGTAATTGGGGAAACAACATTTTTTTATAGTAATTTTATAGATGTTTAGTGTGTATGTGGGTGTTCTGGGCACAAAACCCCCAAACATTATGTAGGCTTTAAAATTTCAAATTTCCTTCATAAAAGTGCAAGTTTAACAAATAAAAAGAATGTTTTACTTGACTGTACAGGAATAAAATATATGGCTTCCTATTGTGTGTGTGCAATATCTGACATTAAAGAAATGTTAGTTCTCATTCTCTCTCTGAACCTTCTAAAATCAGCAAATCAATGTTTAAATATTGAGTTATAAATTTGGAATAGAGATATGAGATATTTTTATTTCTCTAAAGAATTTTAATATCTTGCTAAATAAAAGAGAGCTAACTTCTGTAGACAAATACAGTGTGACTAAACAATTATGGAGCACATTAGTGCTCTAAGGTATGGTTACCTTTCAGAAAAAGATAGGTCACTGGGGCCTTGGTCTGATCTTGAAGTATACATGAGACTGATGTAATTTTGCAACAGCCCATAGAATCCTTTTATAGTCAGAGGAACCACTGGAAGGTGATATTTATAAGGCTACTTTAGCATTGTATATGCGTTAGCAAATTCTAAGGGAGATTTCATTCAGAGATATAGGTATATTA